CCCCAGGAATTCTGCTGTTAAAGAGAAGGGATATAACACAATACTCTGAGAGGATGATGGGATCAAGTGAAGAGTTTTTAAACAAAACAAACATCTGAACATATTTGTGAATAGTAACAAAGGAGTCACTTCATAAGAAAAAATTGAAAATTATGAAAAATATCTTCTTTCTCTGCATCAGTGCAGGGCTTGTTTGCTGTACTGAACAGTAACCCTCACCCCTTTTCTTTTTTATTGTACTACAAAAATTAGTTTCCTGGTAGTGCTGTGAGTTAGAATGTATTTGGAAATGGTGATATAAAGGACAGCAACTAAATTATTTTAAAAATAGGGAGAGAAAGGGGATGATGTAAAGGGTAAACTCCTGAAGAGACTGAAGAAGACAGCATCAAGAGCACAAGTAAAGAAAGGGGTTGGCACTTGCAAAGAGAAACACAATCTATTTACCTCAGTCTAGAGCAAAGAAGGAGAAAGAAGGGAGGACTGTGTTGAAATGATTTAGAGTACAGAAATGCAGAAGAAATTGTGAAGGGCAGATTTAATTTCCAGATAAAGTATTTGGTAAGGCCCTTTCCACAGAAGGGCTGGCGAGACAGGTGGTCTAGGTGGCTTGAAGAGAGAAGTCTGGAACAGATGCTGAGGAGACTAGGATAGTCAACAGGAAATAATAAAAGGATTAGCAAGAACTGGTATGCAGTAACAAAGGCCCAAATGAGTTTACATAACAAATCTGTAGAGGAACTCAGGACACCTATAGCAGCACATGTTTAAGAGCAGAAGACAAATGGTAGAATAATCCAGGGTTGGTGTTTGGACAAGGCAAGACAAGACAGGGGACTGAAGGGTAGAAGACAGTGTGAAGCTGAACTTAAATATCAGGCCAAGATTCTGAAGGATGGAAAGTGAAGCCAAGTGAGAGCTTGGGAAAGTAGGGAGGAGTAGAGTGATTTGAAGTTTTGGTGAGGAGAGTAAATAGGTTTAGGAGGAATTGGCCACAGTGAGTGATTAGAAGGACAGGAGGTTATGGTCAGATAGAAGAATATCAGTTATGGATAGTTAAGGCTGAACACTTTCTAGATGATAACAAGATCAAGGATATCACTAGACTTGCATATAGCTCCAAAAGGGTGAAGTCATGGTAGTTGAGGATGTTAATTAAATGGGAATCAAGTATATTTGAAGGGACATCAACTTCTAAACTGAAGTCTCCCAAGTAAAAGGTAGGTGTTGGAGAAAAGATAAACTGTGCGCCAGGCACTAAACTCCTAAAAAGGAAGACTGACCTCAGGGCCAATAGATAGTAACCATCAGGATACAGATAGAATGAATATGGTGAACAGCAACTGTTTCAAAAGCTGCACAACTGGCAACAGTCATTTGCCCCCAGGTGAATAATCTAGGGCATAGGCCCAGGAAGACTTGCTCACTTTGTACTTTCTTACTTCAGTAAAAGCAGTCTCTTGATTTGAATACTAAGCCTCTGAGTAGACCTTTTGCTTAAGATCAGATTGAACTCAGCCCAAAACAAATTGATTTAGCCCACAGGATCTAGTAGTTATCTGATGGTCAAAGAAATAGCAGCAATACAGATGGCTTTGAGCAGCAATGATAAGCATCAACTCTGACACCAATGCAAATTAAGCTTGTTGCAAGGGCCTCAAGGATGAATGGGTGAGGGGTACCTGGGGTCAGCACCTAACCTTGGTGAGAATGGGGATGAAGAGGCAAGAATTACTGTGACTAGTGACTCTGACTACCCAAGTCACTGAGGCCAAGGAATGGGGGTGGGGTAAGACTGTAGTAGGCAGCTAGTGATATGAATATTGTACAACTGGCTACTCATTCCCAGGTGAATGTTCTGTGGCTCTTACCCTCATGTGGGTAGTGATCTGGAGGGAAAGGGTCTCCCTCTCCAGAAAGCCTAAAGGGTTGTCCAGAGGAACAGATCTGACCAGTTATTAAAAAGGGGGAAAAAATATTACTATGTATCTTTTCTTTTTAAACCTCAGTAAAAATAACTACCCAGTTCAAATACTTTGGCTCTCCGTGTTCCATTTCCACCAGATTAGAAAGATTGGAAAGAATGAAGCTCAAATGAGATGTTACTAAGTGACAGTGACAGGGGAAGAGTTGGGAAGTGAGGAGCAAGAAGCATTCCTACTCCTCCTCATGGCCCAATGTGTTCGGGTATCATAAGGTACATCCAGTACTAGAGAAGGCGGCTAAGGATTCAGTGTTTTCTAGTGGGGAGACAGATTTCTGTGATTATAAGGAGACTGAAGCAACACGAAAAGAACAGGTCTAATATGATGGGCAGTCTTTTTATCAACAGAACCAAAAATTGCATTCAAATCTGATAGTTCTAACTATATGACTTAGATAAAATCAAATGTCTGAAGATGTATAATCACCAATTACAAGTACAAGGGACAGTAAAGTGTAAGACATGCTAATAAAACAGGAAAAATCTTGTCAACAATTCATGTTTTGGATCCTAGATTCAAAAACATGTTAAGTGATAACACTGTCTGATTACAAAACAAGCAGCATTTATAGGAATATATATTAGAATGGCATTTTTTAAATGTTGCAAAATCTACAAGATTTTAGGAGTTCGGTTCAGAAATGCAATTTGAGATGCTACTAATCATATGTCTGCCTCTTGCAACATACTGGCAAGACTTCCTTACCTGCTTTGATTTCCTGCACCTTCCTCAAACATTAAAAAACCTGGTTTAGGCTTAGAAATATCGACAAAGACAAAGCCTTAGAAGCAGCAAAAATTGCTAATAGTAATAGCTGAAAAAGAGAAATTTAGGCTAATTTAATGTTGTAGCTAAGTTGTAATCAACGAGTTTGGGGTTTTATTTCTCCTCTATTTCTTGGCTCCTTTTCTAAAAATGAGGGCTTTCTGGATCAATTTAACTCTGTCCAGGGCAAGTCCAGAGAGTATCTTAATTTTCATTTACTATAATAACACTCTGTCAAGTTCTCTCATAGCATACTGCTCTGTACTCAGTAGCCATTTAACAGATGTTTGATTCTAGCTAAATTCCAGTTTAGAGAAAAGGAAGAATTAAGGGAGAAAATGGGAAAAGGATATGATAGCTCCTTTACTTTTTGTGGTAGCAAAAACCTGGAAACAAAGTAGGTACCCATCAACTGTGGAATCAGTAAAGCATTATTAGTGTGAAGAACTCAAATAATGCCAAGACTTATTAGAACTAATACATAACAGGGGCAACTAGGTGGCAAAGTGGATACAGCACCAGCCCTGGATTCAGGAGGACCTGAATTCAAATCTGGCCTCAGACACATAACACTTATTACTAGCTGTGTGACCCTGGGCAAGTCACTTGACCCCACTGTCTAGACAAAAACAAAAACAAAAAAACCCAAAACCTAATATATAACAAAGTAAACAGAACCCAGAAAACGGTATACACAATAAAATAATGTAAGTTCCTTGAGGGGAGAGATAGTTTCCCTTTACTCTTTGTACCCACAGTACCACAGGGTTAAGCTTTATTGTAAGGTGATTAATAAATGCATGCTGATTAAGTGAATGACAACAATGCAAATTGGAAGTACAAAAAAATGAAACTGAATGGCATCATAATAATCATGACCAAGGTTGACCCCAGAGAAGAACTGAGAAAAAAGCATCTTGTTCTCATTGCAGAATGGGGCCTCTGGGTATAGAATATTGCATACACTGTCATATTCTACAGCTATTTGTTGATTTGCTGACCCACTTTTTCCCCCTCTTTAAAAAAAAATCTGTCAAAAGGATTGCTTCCTGAGCAAAAGAAAATAAAGGGATCTATTTGGAAACGAATTATGTAAAAACAAAAGGGATCAATGAAAATAAACTTTTAAAATAAAATACATGATACCTTCTACCAATCCTTCCCTAACTGGGTTTAAATTATTTCTTTTCCATTACTAATTACTTACAGAGAGGATGGATGTTAATTGTTTCATTGTCAGGCCTAAAAGAATGAGACGAGATTTCTCAGGATATATCACTTTAAATAAAATTCCCTTGCAACAAATAATAATTTAGTTTCTACTAATTCAATTATAGTAAGTATATATACTAATTCAAGTATAGTAATTACCTATACTACTATACCTTTATTCTAAAATACATGCAAAGTATTTAAGGGAAGAAAGGTAAAGAAGACCATGAGATTAAAAACAACATAATTACTCCTGACCTGGACAAAGTCCAATGTTTATAATTAGTCTCTTATTCATGCTTTTCCTCAAAGTTCTTTACAATCATTATTTTTATAGTACCTTCAATAAGAATATTATTCTCATTTTACATGAATAAATTTTCTTAGAAAGGGAACGATTTACCCAAGGTCATACCAGAAGACAACAAGAAAGCAAGATACTACCTCATTTAGATATCTTACATCAACTTTCCTCCATTATAAAACTGTGACACACAAAACATACTTAGGCAAATAAGTAAAAATTCTCTGTAAATTAAAAACAAAATGATTATTAATTTTATACTAAAAGATTAAGATAACTTATATACGAATCCAATAAATTTCAATTAATGTTTATGAAATGAGTACTATATTTAAGGCATTATGATGAGTGTTGAGAATACAAAGATAAAAAAGGAAATAAGCCAGCCCTCAAAGAGTACAAGAATGTAACCCAAGCAAGGAGGTTCCACTATCAGCCAAGAGAGTCAAGCACATGCCAAGCAATGTCCAGAGGCCAATAGGAAACTTTGGAGAGATAAGTACTCACTGTAAAAGAAAGATTCTATGAGGGATACAGAAAGTATAATTTCTTCCTTTATTAATAAAGAAATATTAAGTGTGATTAATTCTATTATACTATCTATGGCAGAAAAATGGACTCAGGTTTTTTTTAAAGGTTTCTTAAAGGTTGAAGTATAAGTTTTTTGCTTAACCTGTTAACCAAAAAAACTGAAACATCCCTTCCCCAAGCATTCCAATTAATAAAGGTTTTACCTTCAAAAGAATTGTTGGAGGTGAAGTATAGAGATAAACACAAGGAGAGAATATTTCTAGCAGAATACTCCAAAAATCTTGAGAAATAGTTTTTTGAGGACAACTTCTACTGATTGGAGATCTAATGAGGATGGTATGGTAAAAGAAAAAACAATGACAATTGGCTGTAAGAGATGCTGTTTTGGGATATATGAATATAATTTCTGAGTAAGACAGCCTTGCAAACAAACCTTGTAATAAAAAGCCTGATTACCCAAATAAAATGAGAAACACTTCTTTTTAGGAGAGCTATTTTGAATAGAATTAATCTAGCATGTTTGAACATGCATTCTGTCTAAAATAGATATAGTCTTCCTGAGTAATGACAAAAGTATTTGATTTCAATTAAAAACATAAATTCTCTTTAAATTCTCCTGTGAAATTACCAAAGAGACTATAGAAAAAAAAACAGTAATACACCACAGGGAGCACATACATACAATATGTTCACGACAACATTTCTGATGTCTAAAAAAAAGCTTTTTCCCCTTACAATTAAAATAAAACTTCTAATATCTATAGTTTTTTTTTAAATTTCCAAAGTAGATTACATATTACTTTTAGTTTACAGCCTGTGACCCTCAAATCTAGTCTCTTCACTGACCAACGTGTAAGTAAACAGATTTGCTGAGTTGGGGAGAGGGAGGATTCCCCTTTTACAAAAGAAATCTCAGGAGTACTGAAATCTGACCTTCCAAATTGGGGGGTGGGGGGTGGGGGGTGGGAGGGAAGAGCTAGACTTAAAATGGACTAGAACTGAGGTTGGCCCCTTATCCTAACACCTTTCCAAACTGGTCCTAACTCTGACATCAGCAACCTATGGGGGTAATTATCAGTGACAGTAAAAGAGTACCAGGCAAAACCTCAAATAAAAATGTTTTTGTCTTGGTTGATCTTTCTTCTCTTTTTCACCCCTCTCTCCCATTCCCGCTAGATGATTCAAACCTCCAATCCTTAGACAGTTGTAATCTCAGCTGCATGGTACACATTTGATTATCTAATTAATTCATACTAAAATGTGACAGACTAAAGTTTGCCCCCCAGAGACTATTTACTTTTAAAAGGTGAACTAAAATACCCAAAAGATAAATATTCAGGCCTATTACTATCTAGCATCTATCACCTCTGTACCCCCAACAAAATGCTGTTCATTTGACCCATTCTCAGCCTAGTAAAACAAAGAGATGTTTCTTAGGGAGAAAGCTTGGGTTGACACATAAAATCCCCTACATATGAAAACAGTAATTCTAATAAAACTCTCTTTAAGCCCTTCCATGGTGGTGGGGGGGGTGAAGGGTACTAAAACCATCAGATTCTTAGGAGCTTACACGCCCAAACTCCAAATTGGACGCCTAATTTTAAAAGTTCCTTTTTTTTTTTTTAAATGGGACCAACCATTGGGCTCTGCCTACACAAGGGCTAGGAAGGCTACTGCTACACAGCACGATCGTCCCTCCTACCTTTTCTTAAAAGCATTAATCGACATAATTTGGGAGACACTCTTTCCATCTCTAGGGGCTAGGAGGATGCTCTCAGAAGGAGGAGGTAGCGTCCTTCTCGCAGCTCACACTGCCAGAAGACTGTGTGCCTAGCTCCACGTTTCCCAACAGGGTATTCTTCCTGAAGACAATAATGGGATGGAGAATGAATCCAACTGCAAGACAGCCGTGAGAAAGGGAGGGGGAGATCTCCTCCGCGGGCGTGGGGGGCTGGGGAGCGTGTTTTCATTCGTGACAGGGGGGGGGGGGGGGGGAAGGGATGGGGGAGGGCCGAGCAGAGGAGTCTGGCAGACGAGGCACTGCTGCTGCTGCTGCTGCTGCTGCTGCTGCTGCAGTCTAGCCTCCGGTCCTCTTTTCTCTTCTCATTACAGACAGGTGGTGGTGGCAGAGGTGGCGGCCGCGGCCGAGGGAAAAGGGGAGGGGAATTCCCCTACACCGCCACCATCCGTACAAAAAGCGTAGGGAGCTCCCCCGGGAGAGGGAGAGGGAGAGGGAGAGGGAGAGAGGGAGCGGAGCGCGCAAGCAAAACCTCCCTCGTAGCCCAGGGAACGGACCCACCCGCACGCGCGCGGGCGAAGTGAAGGCGGAGGAGGCGGAGGCGCCGTCGCGGCGCCTCCATCATCACCGTCTCCGCAGCAGGCCTGCGCGGGCCCCACAGGCCTCTCCGAGCCTCAGTGAGTCCGCTGCGCAGCGGCGGAGATCCCACCCCCGCGCCGCTCCGACCCAAGATGGCGGCCGGCGGCCACCGCCGCGCCGCGCCACCCCACCGTCCTTCCCCTCCCCTCCCTCCCCCCCGGGGGGCTCCACGCGCCCGCCGGACGCCCCCGCTGGGCCCTCAGCCCTCCTCCCGCCCCCCCGGAACCAGGCGGCTCGGGGGCGCGAGGCAGGAGGCCGCGCCGGCGGCACGGCTGAAGGGGAGAGAGGGGGCGCTTACCGTGTGTGGTGCGGGAGTGGCCTTACTGGGGCACTGAGGAGGAGGAGAAAGAGGAGGAGGAAAAGGAGGAGCAGGAAAACACCGCGGCAACTGGGACGACGGCGGCTCCCATAGCGGAGCAGGCGCCTAGGTTGCGGGGAGGGAGGAAGGGAGAGAAGAAGGGAGGGGGGCGGGGGGCTCGCGAACCCGCCGCGTTGCCTCATGGGTAGATTCCAGGTCAGCCCCAGCCAGCCCGGCTCCTTTCTTTCCTGTTAGGGGAGGGTGGAAGAGGGGAGGGAAAGGGAGAGTGGGGGAAGGGCGCCACAGCATGTGCCTTGCTCACTCACCCCTGTTCGAGGCATCCGTTCCCCTGGGACCACTGGGAGGCCAGGCGCTGTCCGATGGGGGGGTTCTAGATCTCTTAGGTAAGATGGAGGTTTTCTCTAATGGGTGCCTCCTTCAGGGTTGTGGGTTCACCCAAGCCAGAATGAGGGCTGCTGGTGCAATCTCAAAACAGAAACCTGGGTACTGGATCCTCCTTAGGAATGGATCTGGACAGGCCTGGGGAATGGAAAGATCAAGGCCATTGTGGAAAAGTCAAGCCTGAAAGGAAAACAAAATCCTCAAAAAATGAGAGCAGCAAGGCCAGTTAAAAATGAACAAGTAAAAAGATAACTTCAGAGTTTCTCTTGAATCTGGAAAGATGGTGGTGTTTTTTTAAATGAAGGAAGAATGGAGTGGCCAACTAGCCCTTCCAAACTTTGCCACCTCCATGGACCTTAAATAAATCCCATTTCTTTAGAGAAAGGGATCAAAATACTTGTAGAGAATATACTTCGTTAAGATTTAAAATATAATCAAAAGAAAAACAGCAAAACTCTCCACTAATATAGGTGTGAACACCTGCAAAAATGAAAGGAATCAGCCTCTCCTTCCAGATTTCCCTATTGCAATCAATGGTACTGATGTTAATTGGATTTGAAGTCAGATTCTACTTTGCAGTCTCAGTTCTGTCACTTTTTACATGTGGGGCCAGGCATCAGCTTCTGTATCTATAAAAAGACAGGACTAAATGATTTTTTAAGACCCATTCAGTTTAATTCAAAATTAAAGGTCTATTGTAAGTCAGGTATTGTTTAATATCCTGTGAAGTTTTTCTAGTCATCTTAAGGCTCAAAACTCTGACTCTTCATTTATAGAACCCTAGAGTAGAAGAAATCTCAGAGGACTTCTATCTGAACCCATACCTGAAGCATGAATTCGTCCCCTCTATTCTAAGAGATAGATCAGACAAGTAGAAGATAAGCTCTTTGAGGGCAGGGAGTGTTTTGTATTTGCCCTTGCATTTTTAGTGCTTCGAACTAAAGTGCTTGGCAACTTTAGCAATTTTGTCTGAACTGATAAGTCTACTTGATGACCTCTAATGAGTGGAATTCATATGTGACCTTGGGCAAATCACTTTAATCTCTATTGTAGATTGAACCAAAATCTGCTTATCTGCCACCCCTCTCTATTGATCTTAATTCTGCCCTTTAGAGCAAAGCAAAACAAGTCTAATCAATCCAAACAAGTCTTTCACGTAACAGACCTTCAAATATTTGAAAACAAATATCATATTCCCCCTCTAAGCTAATATTTTCAATTGATCTTATAGCAAAGTTTTGAGTTCTTTGCCTGCTTTAATCATCCTTCCTTATAGCTACTTCAGTCTATCATTATTCTAAAATATAATTCCAAAAACTGAATGCAACTTTCCAGATATGGTCTAACCAGAGTAGAGTAGAACTATAATCTCTTTGGTTCTGAACATCATACTTGTATTAGGGAACCCATAGTTCCCATTAATTTTTCTGGCTGCTGAATCCCACTTGGCTCTTATTTAAGCACAAAAACCATATTTTTACATGAAATGCTATCTAGCTATTCTCCCTCATCCTGAATTAGTTTATGTTTTGACCCCAAGTGGAGAACTTTTATATTTATCTCCATTAAGTGTAATTTTATTCAATCCAGTCCATTGTTCCAACCTGTTCAGATGTTTCTGGTTCACAGTTTTGTCATCCAGCCAGTTAGCTTCCTTCCCCAGCTTTATACAAAAATTTGATAAGCATACCCTCTGTGCCAGCATCCAAGTCACTTATTAAAAATATTGTGCTAAAAGAGACAAGGCAAAGCTTTGTGGTCCTCTACCATAGACATCTCTTTAAGTTGATAATCAGTCTGTTAACCAACACTCACTGGATCTGATTGTTCAACCAGCCCTAATTACACCCAATTATATTATCGTTTAACTTTCTTTCAGAGCTATAACTAGTCTTGGGGTGATCAGGGATTTGCTCCAAGCCAGCATTCTTATCACAGGGACAGTTATCCCAGAGCACTATGGTTCCTTGATGGGCTACACTGCCATACGGGGCAATCACCTTTAAGAGACTGTCCCTTGAGGTGTATGGAGTATTCAGGGAGGACTGGTACCTTCTGTGTGAGGACTTGCCAGGCCTTTTTCAGAGCTGTTCACCCACCTCTGATGTCCACCTGTCACCTAACTCTCCCCATGGCTTCAGAAAGCTGTGGCATGTGAAGCAGCCACACTCTGAACTGTCTAGGCAGATGAGCCAAACCAGCTTGAGCATTGCCAACAGACCTCAAACCTGTCAGTGAGTTAGGGGGATGCCTATCTAAGCAGGTGAAGACTTTACCTGGCAGAATGGGTGGATGAGAACAGTTTTGTTGCAGTGGCCATGAAGGTGACTGAAATAGGCACTGTGGAGCACTCAGAGCTTGGTCAGACATAAAAAACAACCAGGGTCATCCACTGCATCTCAGGCTGTTGCCAGTCATTTTGACTTCAATCTTGCTGCTGGATACTTAGTACTCTGGAAGAGAGAGTGAGGCTGCACAACTCTGCCTTACTTAAATGCAAATCACATGTCATGACATCCATTATTCATTACATTACCCATTTTGAAGTCCTATGGTGAAGGACACGGGTGAGTGACAAAGCAGCAGACGTAGATACACTGGGAACTATTGCCACAACCATGCACATAGGTGGACCACTGCATTGGGTTATCTTCTCATTGGAAATGGGACCACATGTACCCAATCTGTGGTAGTGTCTTCCAAACTCATATTGAACTGATCAGCCACAGCCAAACATGCCATAACCGTCTTGTCATTGGTCTTCTTAGAAAACAAAGGACAAACAACAACAACAAAGTATAATGCCTCTGCCTTTGGGCCATTTTCATCATCCTAGCCTGCAGGAACAAAGGCTAGACTCTCAAAGTTGAGCTGCACCCTCCCAGTGCAATAGCAGTTACACTCAAACTTTCCTCTGTACCACTGATCACCTTTCAGCTCAACCTCAACTATTTTTGGCTTCAGGTGTAAACGTTCCTAGTTACGGCTTTGCCTACATCTAAAATTTGATTTTTCCAACAGTCTATTAAGCTATATAATTCGTATTTTATCTTTCTCTTGGATTTATCTAGTTCTGAGAGAGGAATATTAAAGTCTCCTATAAATATTGTGTTACCAACACCTTTTTGCAATTCACCTAACTTTTTTAAAAAAAGATCTTTGATGCTATGCCATTTTGTGCATATATTTTAATGATATTATGGTTTATTTATTGCACCCAGAGATGATCAGTTTTTATTGTTGCCTTATCTGAAATGATGATTACTACCCACATTTTTTGTATTCAGTCTTGCAGTCTGGCTTCCAATGTCATTACTCAACTGACACTGCTTTCATGAAAATTACTAATAATTTCTTGGTTGTAAATTCTGATGACTTTTCTAAGTCCTTGTTCTCTGTAGGATCTCTACAGTTTTTGACTCTGTTGTTGACCCTGTTCTACTGGGTACTCCTTCCTCGTTGGGATTTCATGACGCCATTGCCTCTTGATTCATCTCCTATCTGTCAAACTGCTCATTCTCAGTCTCCTTTGCTGGATCATCATCTACATCGTATCTCTTAGCTGTGGTGATACACCAAGGCTCTGTCCTCAGCCTATTCTCTGTCTACACTCTTGTTAACTTTATGAGCATCTGTGAATTTAATTATCATCTCTATGCAGATGACTTCCAGATCTATATATTTAGTTTCAGTCTTTCTCCTGAGCTCCAGTCCCATTTTTAACTGAATTAACATTCAGTTCACATAGGCAGGTCTCATTCAACATGTCCAAAGCAGAAAATCATTACTTTTCCTCTAAAACCCACCCTCTTATTAATTTGCCTATATCATGAATACTACCATCCTTCTAGACACCTGGATTGGAATCGTAGTGTCATCTTCAGCTACTCGTTCCTTTCTACTCAAAATTTCCAGTCAGTTACTAAATCTCACTGCTTTTACCCCTACAACAAGCTCCATTTTATGTATGAAGCCCTTCTCAGTCTCCAGAGCTACATATGCTTCCCCCCAAAAAACTACCTTGCATTTTGTGTATAAATTTTTTTGTGTAGATGTCTGTATACGTACATGTCACCTCCATTAGAATGTGAGCTCCTCAAGGGCAATGATTGTTTCACTTGTGTCTCTGTATCCACAATGACTGGCACATAGTAGTTACTTAATAAATGCATGATTGATTGAAGGATATCCTGAGAGCTTTTGTCAAATACTTTGCTGAAATCCAATATTATAAATGTCTGTGGCATTACTCAACCCTATTTAAGAAAGTGAGGTCCACTATTTTTTCTTTTCTTTATCCTAGTCACAAAAGAAGAGAAATTGTTATTCTTTCCAAAGAACAATCCCTCCACCTTGGCCTTTGATTCCATCCCATCTCTGTGACTACTGCCTCAGTTGTAATCCTTTATTAAGTTTATTCAGTCTCTCCAGTAGCACCCTCACCACTGGCTACAAATATGCTCATATCTCTGAAATTCTGAAAAAGGCTACTGTTAGCACTTGATCCCATCCTGCTACCTTCCCATCTTTCTTTTAACATTCACTGTTAAATTTGTTGGGAAGAGTAGTCTATTTTTTCGGATGCCACTTCTACTCTCTTCACTTTTCAACCTCACCATGCCCATTTGTATTGAAATCGTTCTCTCAAAAGGTCCTTTCTACCACACCAATGATCTCCTGATGGTCAAAGTTAATTGCCTTTTCCTCTCAGTCCTCATCCTCCTTGACCTCCCTGAAGCTTTCTACA